GACATTAAAGAACGTTTAATATTTCTCTCACAGATGGGAATGGATCCGTTATCTCAAACACAGGTTGTTACAAAGTGGGTCAATGCCTTTTCTACACATTTTCATGCTGTGTGATGCTGCCTGGAGTGTTGCAACACAGTGTGAGACCTTTACCAAATGTGGCCACCCTTCGCTGAACTCCCTAGTCTCAAGAATCATGAGCTAAATATAAATCTCTTGATAAGTTACACAGACTCAGGCAGTCTGTTATAGCAACAGAAAATGCAGGGAGACAAGTTCCTGGGTCCTTGTTCCCATGGCATGAGCTCTGTCTGGTGGAAAGTCTAGAGCCCAGTCCCTTGGTTTGATAATGTTTTTTTTCTCCCAGACACCAGCTGTGGGCATGGGTTTCCCTTGAACCCCTCCCCGAGTACCACCACATAATCTGTGCCCACATGGACCAGGCACTTCATTGGCGGGGTGGGGGTAGTAGTAACAGGCAAAGGTAGCCATGTGCCCAGAGGAGTTTTTCAGGGTGCAGTCAAAGCCTTCCCTGGGGCTCCCCTCTTGGTCTCTTTCTCCCAGAATAATGCATTCTTCTGTCGCAGTAGTTCCTAAATGTTTGGGGTAAAGTCTTTAAAACTATTGAAGGCTTCAAAGTATTTCCCTCGTGGAGACCTTATCTAATGCTAGTGACAGTATTGGAAATTAAAACAAAGGGCTTTGGGACTAGAGGTGGCTCAGTGGATAAGAGCACTTGCTGGTCTTGCAGAGCACTTGAGTTCAGTTCCCAGCAGCCATAAGGAGCCTCACCCCAGTGCCCTCTTCTGGCACACATGCAGTATGAGTACATTCAGGCAAACACTTATGCACATAAAATAAAAAGAAGTAAATACTTGGAGGGAGTTGTTTTTGGTTTTTGAAGAACGGGTTTCTCTCTGTATCCCTGGCTGTCCTAGAATCTCATTCAGTAGACCAGCCTGCCTTGAACTCAGAAATCTGCCCCCAGAGGGCTGGGATAAAAGGTGTGTGCCACCATACCTGGTTAAATAATACTTCCTTTTTTTTTTTTTTTTTTTTTTTTGGAGGGGCTCTAAAGGGCTTGCTTGTTAATTTAAAATTAGTTGCAATAAAGAAGAGGACAATGTTTCTGGAATGATATATAATTACAGTTAGACAACAAAAGGAGAAGGAAATCCAGAATGGGAAATACATAGAGCCAGAAAGTAGGTAGATGATTGATTGTCCTGTGCTTTCGAGGGCAGAATTGGGAATAGGGTAGTGGTTACAGAGTTCCTTGCTAATGAAAATGTTCTAAAATCTATTGTGGTTGCACAAAGCTTTGAACATGTTAAAAATCCACTGGATTTTATACTTCCTTTATTTATTTATTTTTTTAGTTTTTTGGGCTGAAGATTGGACCCAGGGCTCCATACATGCAGAGCATCTGATCTGCTAGTAGCTATGCCTCAGCCCCAGACTCTGTGCTATAGATGAGTAAATTGTATGTGGGTTGCATCTCAACAAAGCTGTTTTTTTATATTTAAAAAAAAAGATAACAAATTTACATGTGAGAGAAATAGATTTTTACAAGAATTTTCTAAAGGAAAATAAAGACGTAAGAAGAGGGGCTGTTTCCTGTTGTGAGTGTCTGGTGCCTTGCTTCCTACCCACAGCTGGTTTCCAGGGTGGCAGCTGCTGCGTTCAGGCTGTCACAGCAGGTTGTTTGGAGCTGGGATATATACAGAAAGCTCAATGTAACACACATTGTGTCACTGGAAGAGGCCCTTGAAGAGCCTCGGATTTCTCAAGGATCTCAGGCTCCTCCCAAGGTCTTTAAAGGTTCTGACTTCCTGTATAAATCTATACTTGCCCTTTGGAAGCCCATAGCCTTGGCCCTAGTCCCATTATCGCTTGTCCCATTGCAAAATGTTCCCAAACCTGCTTATCTGAGCTCATGTTGTGTGGGCCCCACCTCCTTGAGATGCCCTGTGTGCCTGTCACCTCTAGGTACAGCATTTCAAGTCAGGGAGCAGTTAGTGGCTTGGGGCTAGACTGGCTACACCCTCCTAGCAGAACTCCCACCAGCAGTGACTCAGTGCCTGCTGTTGGATAATACACCCCAGACTTTCTGGTGAGCAGCCATCTGTGCACACAGTTCCTAGAGATGTGCTGTTTAGAGCCACCAAGAGGAAGCTGAGATCCCCCTGGGTGCCTCGATGTTGCAAGGCAAACCAACCCCTCCAAGGCTAGCACCTGTAGGGGCAACATCTGGATTTGATTCTTCCCATTACCTCATGCTGCACTGGTATCCTTAGGCCTACAGTCAGGAGCTGGTTTCCCCAGGGCTGTGGCCCAAGCTGCAGTCGCATGGGATACCATGAGGGGCTAGTTAGCTCCTCTCTCTCATACCCAGTTTATGAACCATGACACAAAAGTCCCCAATGAGCTTAGAGGGAAAGACATAGAGAAGAGACCCAGATGCTAGGGTATGTCCTGAAGTTGCCCAAGCGTCCTTGGACACAGTTGCAGCTGGAAATCAAGCAAACAATAAAGGACAGCAGCCTTTGCCCAGCCCCAGGTTGTTGTTTCCTCCTTAGCCCTTAGACCTTTGGGAGCTCCACCCCAACTGGGATTCTTCAGGAAGGTGTTACCTTGTGACTCAGTTACCCAATCCCCCACTCCTAATGGGGTTGTCCTCCTCCCACCATAGAGATGGCCACTGTCAGCGATGGGGCTCTTGAGTTGAAGGGTAGAGTTGAAGCAACTAAGAGAAGGCCCCTGAGGGGGGCAGGCTGCACCATGGCAGGCCTGCCTAGTCTCTGGATCTGCCCATGGTATTTCTTGGTCTTTCCAAGAATATGATAGCCTCACATGACCTGGAATGTGGGGGGCTTGCAGAGATGGGACCCGGTGTGGCTACATGGAGGGGGGCAGGACCACAAATCTCCCACATTGGCAGTAGTTTATTCATTTGTTTGCGACCAAGAGCTACTCTGCCTTCCTCCTGTCCCCCAGTACCACCTGCCGACCCCAGGACCTGGGTACACAGTTTGACAACTTTTGTATTTGATCTCCCCATTTCATAGTCAGGAGAAAAAAAAAAAAAAACCATCCCAGGGGGTGGAGTCTCTTGCTAAATAAGCTAAGGGGTCTACAGGGGCCTGTGAACATTAGGTATGAATCACCCCAAGGACAGGGTTGCATGGGTGAGGGACAGAGACTAGCATTAAGGCAACAGCCAAAGAAGAGCAGGATGGATGAAAGGAGAACCCTTAGCTGGGCATGGCCTATATTCCCAATAGTTGGGAAGCTGAGGCAAGAGGAGTGCGAGTTTGAGGCCAGCCAGGGCTACACAGAAAGGCAGAGGAAGGGAAAGAAAAGAAAGAACCCCATAGCCCTGACTTCCTTCCCTGAGCTGAGTCTAGCCTCTAGCTCTGGGAATTACCACCATGCTGTCCCCCTTCCCTCAGCCTTTCTGACCCCCAAGAAGGGAGCCTTGACCCATACGCAGAGGTCTGTTTGGGAAGCTGAATGTTAGGCTAAGGCCCTTTGACCACATGGCCTTCTGAAGCCCTAGGAATTGAGGAGTTCCCAGCTTCCTCATTCCCCAGTCAGGGTAAGGGTGTGTCTTCTTCATTCCTGGGACAGTCCCAGAGTTCTGCATAGCCAAGAACAGCCTCCTGACCACAGGGCCAACATGGAATGGATATGCCAAGGTCCCTGTCCTGCCCTGACTCCTGTATTTTCTGGAAACTTAATTGCTTTCGACACTTTCTCAGATGGGTCAAGGGAGCTGCATGGTATGGTAGGGAAGGAATGAAGAGCAAACGGGGTCAGGAGGGAATTTGGGGGAGCCACAGGGGACACTGGCCCCTGCCAGAAGCCTTGCCCGTGTTGCTTAGTTTTGTTTCCCTCATCGATTTCTGATGCCAGGGTCACTGTCTTCGTTTTACAGAGAGGGCATGGGGCTTGGAGCTGTTAGGTAGATTACCCAAGGGGCTACATCCCGGCTGAGGGGTTGTACAGCTGGAGGACAGAGGCTAAGGCAAGTGTCACAGTTGCCAGCCAGCTCTTCAGAAGGCCCTGTGCTCAGCCACATGGCACCTTGTGTCACTGGGTGACAGACAGTGAACATAGCCCATAGAACTCAGCTTGCCTCTAAGGCCGGTGCCTGCCCAGTGGAAGGCAGAGCTCTCCAAACTGACCTTTAACAATGGTAGATGGTATTCGGTGAGGTTCCCTACAGGAGACGGGGCTTGGTATTCTGGTCCCTCCAGATCCATAGGGCAGAAGCCCATTCTTTGTTCTCAGAGGTACAACTGCCAAAACCCACCATCCTTTTTCTGTCCTGTATTCATCAGCACTGGCCTGACTCATGCCTAGCAGTGGGTGAGGGGTGATCAGTCCTCCACCGCCCCCAAATGCCTACATTGTAGGAAGTCAGCCTCTGTTTCTTCCTCTACAGATCCAGATGATTGATTTTCTGCCTCCTTCCTTAAAGGCGTGTCTAAGATCACAGGCATAGGAAAGGTGTCTGGAGAAGTTTAGATTACCCCACCAAATGACAAGAAGGCCCTCTCTAGGGTTCTGCCAGTCACTCCACCTCCTTCTCAAAGCCTAGCAACTTTAAGAGTCTAATCCAACACTCCCAGGTTGACCATGCCTGTTCCCATATCTCTGAGCAGAGAGCTGTCAGCTCAGGACACTCAAGCTTGGGAGAGGGTTGGATTGGCCTGTCCCTGGCGTTGTGTGAGAATCCTAGGAAGTCCAACAACCCAGAACAGCACAAACAGGGCTCCTGGATCCCACTGCTCTCGGCTACACTCCAGCAATCCTTGAGCCCTGGTGGAAGTTCTACAGATAGGGTGTAGTGCCTCGTGTGGAGGTGGGGGCAGTAGTATCTTCCTCACCCATCCTAAAGTTAATAGCCAAGACACCTGTAGTAAAAGGTTCCCAAGAGGAAAATGCTCTGGGTGAGTTGGCTGGCTCTTGACCTCTGGTGTTCTCTTCTCTTTCAGGACCTGGGCATGGAGTCAACCTCCTTGGATGATGTGCTGTACCGATACGCCAGCTTCCGGAACTTGGTGGACCCCATCACACATGACCTCATCATCAGTCTGGCACGTTACATCCACTGCCCCAAGCCGGTAGGCAGATGTGGTCTGAAGTAGCCAAGTCCTGGGGTGTGAGGTGGACCCCTTTCTAGATAGCACAGACTAACCATGGTTGCCTAGGGAGTTGGAGCTCTGCTCAGGGGAAGAGAAATTTCTGAGGTCGACCCCATCTGTGGCTTCCTCTGGGACCTTCTCTCTAGTTCCTGGAGCTGCTTAGTGCCAAGATCTAGAGAGGATGGGAACAGGCAGCATCAACAGAAGACAGGAAAGGAGCTATGAGTCAAATACGAGACAGTAAGCAAAGCCAGTCTTGAAGGTTGGTGGACCGGGAGAGGAGCTGGGGAGAGGGTGTGGTGGGTGCCGGGAGCCACAGGGAACCAAGTAGCTTAAGCTAGAACCCTGAGGAACAGGAAAGTACTAGAAACAGGCCTCTGAGGAAGCCCTGAAGTTGGCATACCCCTTTCTTTTCTAGAATAGGAAGTGAATTGCCTAAAGGTGAGAAGAGTGACAGGCAATAGAGCTCTCAAGAATAAACAAATAGCCAGGTGTTGGTGGCTCATGCCTTTAATCCCAGCGCTTGGGAGGCAGAGGCAGGCGGATCTCTGTGAGTTCGAGACCAGCCTGGTCTACAAGAGCTAATTCCAGGACAGCCTCCAAAGCCACAGAGAAACCCTGTCTCGAAAAACCAAAAAAAAAAAAAAAAAAAAAGAGAGAGAGAGAGAGAATAAACAAATAGGTGAGATATTATCTTCATTTCCATTTGAGAGTTGAGGAAAATAGGTACTGAAGTGTGTTGTGCCTTTCATGAGGACTGCAGAGGTGATTGGGTCCACTCTGCAAACCTGGAGCTTGGCAAGACAGTAAGTTCTAACTACCTACCCCATCAGGCCCAAGGATAGGCCAAGAGAAACCTAGCGCTCCTTCCCTTCAGCCTAGGTGAGGCTGGGGGCCATATCAGTCAATGTTACTCAGCACAGGCTGCTACACAAAGTACCATAGCCTGAGAACGTCTAGACAAGAATCCATTTCTCACATCTGGCTGGAAATTCAAGATTGGAGTGTCTGATGAGAGCCTTCTCCATCTGAGATTGCTGCCTTCTCCTGTGCCATGGCATGGTGGAAAGAGATTCTCTAGACCCCTCTTAGAACAGCTCTGATGAGAGCTCCACCCTTACAGCTGGCTCCTTTCAACACGTGAATGGCGGTGGAGCACAAGCCTTCAGCATACCGCATGTGTGACATTTCCCACATCACTTGATTTCCAGAGTTTCATTTTCTTCAACCCCAAAATGGGCATAAAACCATGTCCCTCCTGCTAATGAGGCAGCTCATCAGAGGCACCTGCACAGGCCTTGTCCGTATGGCCACCTGTGCACAAAAGTTGGCCTGTGGCACCTTCTGTGTGCCACCAGGGGAAAAGAAGGGCAGTGTAGGAAACAGCAGCAGATAGGACATGGTCCCTATAGGCCAGGTCTTAGAAATCAGCAGGGTTGCTCTCTGACCCAGATTTCCAAACCAGCAGAATGGGCCCAGCTTTGCTGGGGGGTCAAGGACCAGCCTTGGATATTCCGGGACTCCCCAGGTGTGGGTGGGACAGAGATGGAAAAAACATCCAAACTGAAAAGAAGGCTGAGATGCCTGTGCTGACTCAGGGTTGACTGGGACCCCCTTCTTACGGGTCTTTGTATCTGACACTCACTTAGCTGCTCAGGTTGTGGCCTAGATGTGTAGACAGGGGTGTCAAAACCGCCAGCTATTATGGGAGTCTGTTCACATCATAGTGGACCAGAAAGAAGAGAGAAAGGCTAGAACCAGGAACTAGGCTGTCATCTTCAAAGGCCCCTAGTGACCTTCTACCAACTGGATCCCTTCTCCTAAAAGTTCCACAACCAAAATAATCCCACCATCTGGGAAAAGGGCATTCAAAACATGAGCCTGGGTTGTTGGTGGATATTTGGGATTCAAACCAAACACCTGCAGTGATTTAGCCCCTCCTACTGACTCCTCTCTTAAAGTTCTTTCTCCCAGTGGCTTCAAGCTGAGGACCGAGCCTTTAACGCATGGCCCTTTGTGGGCATGTAACATCTAAATTATCCCACATTTACTTGATGGTTACTTTGCTGTCTATTTTACCCACCAGAATAGACTTTTTTTTTTTTTTTGGAGCCTATCCTCCCTCTGTAGACCAGGCTGGCCTTGAACTCTCAGAGTCTGCCTGCCTCTGCCTCCCGAATGCTGGGATTGACAGAATAGACTTAAGCCTTTAGTACCAGCACTAGACAGTAGAGCAGAGGTAGATCTCTTTTAAGTTTAGAAGTCAACCCAGACTACATAGGAAGTTCCAGGCCAGGCAGAGCCACATAGTAAGACCGGGGTGTAAATGTGAGGGCCTTTTTTAAAAAAAAAAAAAAAAAAAAGACTCGGTGCTGGAGAGATGGTCTGTGGTTAAGTGCATGGGCTGTTCTTCCAGAGGAACTGGGTTCAATTCCTAGCACCCACCTGGCAACTTTACAACTGTCTATAACTCCAATTCCAGGGGATCCAACACTTTCACACAGTGTTTTAGGCAAACACCAATGCACATAAAAATAAAAAAATAAAAATAAAGACTCTAGCCAGGCGGTGGTATCAAATGCCTTTAATCCCAGTACTTGGGAGGCAGAGGCAGGCAGATCTCTATGAGTTCAAGACCAAGCCTGGTCTACGAGCTAGTTCCAGGACAATCTCCAAAGCTACACAGAGAAACCCTGTCTCAAAAACCAAAACCAAAACAAAAAAAACCTCTAAGGATTATCCATCCATCTTGTTCACAGTTATGTCTTGTAATGGGCAAAAAGCAGCACGTTTCATTGTGAATGTGTGTGTGGGTGTTGGTGTGTGTGTGTGTGTGTTGGTGTGTGTGTGCAAGCATGAGTGCGCAAGCATGCATGGAGGGGGTAAGAGGATGGGAGAAAGCATGTGTCCAAATGTATGCATGCCCCTGTGTGCATGTGCTCATGAGGCGGAAGGACAGCCTCAGGTACCTGCTGCTCCTCAGGTGCCTTCTACCTTTTATTTGAAACAAGGTCTCTCAAGTGGCCTGGAATCTCACCAACTAAGTTAGACTAGCTGCTTCCACCTCCCCTCTCACCACTGCTGGAATTACAATCAAGTACCATGATCGTTGTCCTCTGACTGCCATACATGTGCCGTGGCATTCACATGCACCCACACACTCATATACATACATACATACATACATACATACATACATAATTAAAAAATTAAAATAAGTAAGTAAAACAAACCTCAAGATCAAACATTTAATGTTGAACAGTTTCTGCAGGGCGGGCGGGAATCCAAGGCTGTGTCGGGCTTGACTGCAGCTCACTAATGCACACTGCAGGGTTGGAAGCAGGAGGCCTCAGTCTGTTGCCACGTGAGCGTCACCACAGGATTGCTTGGGTGTCCTGTATCACACAGTTAGCCAGAATACCTGTTCTAGAATTCACATACCATACCATCCCTCCGGCCCTTCTGTTCTCGTGATCCCCGAGATAGTTCTGATAAATTTTGGAAGGAGACTACATAGGGCTGGCTACCAGGAGCAAAGGACGGGTGGCCTGGGAGGCTCTACACATGAATGAGATGATTTGGCCCTTTGCTCCTCCCAACCCTAGATCTTGCTCTGTTGCTCCCATTACTGGGCCCAACTAGAAACCAGGGACAAGAGGACCTGGTGATGTACTTCTCAAGACAGTCCTGTGAGAGCAGAGAAGGGCTGAAAACAGGCTGGGGGGTGGGAGTGGGGTGGGGTGAGCCCAGGAAAACCAGCAGGCAGTCAGTCTAAACAGCGCCCAGTGTATAGTAAGTAGAGCCAGCAGAATCTGATTAATGGATGAGTACATTTATGAATGAGGGAAGTCTCTGCTTGGCAGACAAGGTTGTTGGAGTCCTAGGTGCTGTTATAGAGGTGCCTGGGAAATGAAGGTGGCAGATGGCATCTGTCCCTGGGGACACCAGGGAAGGCTGTCGATTGGCCTTGAGCCCCTGAGCCTCTTTCCAACACATCCTGGGGAAGTTCCTCAAACAAATCCTCCCCCAGTGCTTCAGGACAGTGTCACTGGGCAGTTCTGTCAGTTCCCAGAGTCCTGCCAAGTGTGCCATGCCTCCTCCGCTCCCCCCTTCGCCATGGGTGGGAGGAGGAGCTGCTAGGAGCATTCCACAGTCAGACACTGAGCCTTCTGCATGGTTAATCGCAACTCACAGACACCCACGTGGTCCAGTGTCTTGTGGACCCAAAGGCAGCCCAGCATTATGGAGGCTTCGGAACTACTGAGCTAGCATGCTGTGTAAGTCCATCCATCCCCCCTCTGCTCCATTACACACTGTTTCCTCTTGACGGGGCTCATTCCCACCCTCCCACATGGTAGGGAATATGGCTATCCACAGGACCTGTTCACTTGTCCAGGTTCCAGTTCCTAGAAGGTTTCTCATTTTCACTGTCTTCTTCTGTGTTGGGTCCTCCTCTCTTGCTTCCAGGAGCCTGAAAAGGAAGGAGTTGGGGAAAGATAAAAGCAATATGCAAAGGGCCAGATTTCTAACAAGGGGAGTAGAGTGTGTAGGTTGGTAGGAACCAGGGGGCAACGTCTGGATTTATTCCCACTGACGAGGGGTGTGGTGTTGAATTGTATGCCTCGGTTCCCTCCTTTGTGAGGACTGTGCCCAAGTGAACGAAGGAGATGCATAACGATTTCTAAAATGCTCAGTAAACATTAAGGGTGGGAAGTGTGGCTTATGCTAGTGTGAACCTGTTATCTTTGGCCAGGGAGGATCCCAAGCACCACAGAAACAAAACAACAAAAGACCCATGGTGTATCTAGTTCAGGCGAGCAGAGGGGAACTCATCCCTGTGGTTTTTACAGTTAATCTCAAGTCTAATTGGCATGCTCAGCTATTGTCCCTGTTTAGCCAATAAGAAGACCGAGATTGACTCCGTGTGTGTGTGTGTGTGTGTGTGTGTGTGTGTGTGTGTGTGTGTGTG